ATAGCTGCACAGTTAAAAGCACCCACTTCTCCTGCAGAGGGCCCGAGTTCAGTTCCCAGTACCCATGTCAGGCAACTCATAACCATCTGCTCCAAGGAAACCCAAAGCCTCAGGCCACCTGCATTCACACACACACAACAACAACAACAAAAAAATACTGTTTAAAACAATGAATGCCTCTAATCCCAGTACTCTGGTGCAGGAGTTCAAGGTCATCCTCAGTCCTCAGCTACATAGAACGTCCCAGGCCAGCAAGGGATATGTGAGGCCATGTTGGGGGGTGATTAAGGGCCTGAAGAGATTGTTCAACAGTTAAGAGTACTTGTTGCTCTTGCAGAGGCAGGGGATCTCTGTGAGTTCTAGGTCAGCACAAGCTTTTAATACCAGCGATTGGGAGGCAGAGGCAGGCTGGTCTACAAGTTCCAGGATAGCTGGGACTGTTACACAGAGAAAGCCCATCTCAAAACAAAACAAAAAAGGGGGGGGTGCCCAGAAGCCCAGCTTTGCTGTGTGAATATGTAAGGAAGTGTCCAGGGCCTGACCCAGAAAGTGTTCAAAGAATGATTGTTGTGCTTGTAAGATAAACCTGATAGCCTGAGTTCAGTCCCCAGGCTCATGCGGTGGAAGGACAGAACCAACTCCTGAAAGATGTGTGGGTATATACATACACATGCATATTCACACAAAACAAAAATATATTTTAAAAAGGAAAGGGAAATGGGATGACTCAGTGGATAAAAAGCTCTTGCCGGGCTGGAGAGATGGCTCAGAGGTTAAGAGCACTGACTGCTCTTCCAGAGGTCATGAGTTCAATTCCCAGCAACCACATGGTGGCTCACAACCATCTGTAATGAGATCTGGTGCCCTTTCCTTGCTTGCAGACATACATAGAGGCAAGATGTTGTATTCATAATAAATAAATAAAATCTTTAAAAAAAAAAAAAAAGCTCTTGCCACTGAGAACTTGAGTTTACTCCTATGAACCATACGATGGAAGGTGAGAATCAGCTTCCAGAAGTTCTCTGGCCTCCATGTCCTGTGGCACTGATGCCTGCATACACATAAATAAAAATATAGTATTTTTTAAATGATTGCTATCCTTCCTTGCAATGTCTTTCTGATTAGAAACTCAAGAAGCAGATTTGAGAGCCATGATGAAAGAGAATATTGACCTACATGCAGTTTGTGTGGGAAGCACATCTTTCAAAATTGGCTTTGAGGTGGGCAGAATCTCTCGGGTTGCAGAAGGAAGGGGGCTGAAAGTTTTGACACCAGAGTCCTCCATTGCTTGCCAGTTCTATGACTTATAGTCTGTTTCTGGTGGGAAAACAAAGAAAACAGGACCCTATCTATATACGGGTACCTGTGACACATGGGATAACTAATGCATATAACTAAAAGGGGCTTAGCACAGAACTTAGTACATAGAAAAATTAAACCGGCTGTATTTTTTTTTTGACCTTTCGAGACAGGGTTTCTCTGTATTGCTTTGGAACTTGTCCTGGAATTTGCTCTGTGCAAAGGCTGGCCTGGAACTCAGAGATCTACCTGCCTCTGCCTCCAGAGTGCTGGGATTAAAGGCGTGCCCCACCAAAGCCCAGTTAAACTGGCTGTAGTTTAAAAGATTAGAAATGAAGCAGCTCTGGGGATATAACCAAGTTTGTAGAATCCTTGCAGGAAACTCTGGGCTGAATCCCCAGCACCACATAAGACCAGCCATACACAGGTTGGTGGTGGCTCACACCTTTAGTTCCAGCACTCAGGAGGCAGAGGCCGGCGGATCTCTGTGAGTTCGAGACAAGCCTGGTCTACAGAGTGAGTTCCAGGACAGTCTCCAAAGTTACAGAGAAACCCTGACTGGAAAAAACAAAACAGCCATGCACTCATTCCTGCAATCCCAGCAGTGAGCGGTGGAGATAATAAAGATAATAAAGAAATTCAAGTATGGTCTACAGAGCAGGGTATGAGGGTGTGGGCCAGCCAGGCCTAAATAGTGAGATCTAGTCTTCAAAAAATTCAAGGTCAGTCTTGAGCTCAAAGCCAACCTGGGCTATATGAGATTCTGTCTCAAAACAAAACAAACCAGAAGTAGAGATATAGGGATTAAAGTAGTAAAGGAGTGTGCTACCACCACCCAGCTGTATATCTTGGTTTTTTTGTTTGTTTTTTGCAGACAGCGTTTTTACTATGTAGTTCTGGCTAGCATAGAACTCACTCAGACTCACAGAGATCCACCTTCCCTTGCCTTCCAAATGCTGAGATTAAAAGTGTGCCCTACCACACCCAATATTTTGGTTTTTAAGTTTTTATCTCATGAGTATTTTACCTGCATGTATGTCTATGCACTACATTTGTGCCTGGTGCTCACAAAGACCACAAGAGAGCTTCAGATGCCCTGGGACTGCAATTAGAGACGGTTTCCAGCTACCACGTGGGTGCTGGGAATTGAACCTGAATCCTCTGGAAGAACAGCTTAGTGCTTTTAGCCACTGAGCCATCTCTCCAGCTCCCAAACTCTCATTTTGCAACACTTTTAAGTTTACTGGACAATTGCAAAGAAAATGTGGAAAGTTCTCAAACTCAGATCATACTACAGTGAACATCTTACATTGGTGTAATAGAACTGACTCTCCAAAACAATGCTATTATGAACTAAAATTTATATTTAATCAGACTTCTTTAGATTTTTTTCATTGTCCCTTATTCCAGGATCTCACCTACAATAATTTCTTGTTCAGGTTCTTTCACATGTGTGCAAGTTTTTGGAGGCCAGAAGTCAATGTCCAGTGTCTTTCCCTCTACCTTCTTGTTAACACAGGGTTTCTCTATGTAGCCCTGACTGGCCTGGAACTCACAGAGATCGGACTGACTCTGCTGCCTCCCAAGTGCTGAGTTTAAAGGTGTGCACCACCACAACCCACCAACCTTTTTAAAAAATTCTATTTATTTTATTTTGTAAAGGCTCAAGTGTGCCATACACAGTGCGTGTGGAGGTCAGAGCAGAACTTATGGGAGTCAGTTCTCTCCCTCGATTATCTGGATCTCCAGGAATAAACTCAAGTTATCAGGTTTGGTGGTAAACACCTTGTACCCACTGAGCCATCTTTTTTTTTTTTTTTTTTTTTTTTTTTTTGGCTTTTTTCAAGACAGGGTTTCTCTATGGCTTTGGAGGCTTTCCTGGAACTAGCTCTTGTAGACCAGGCTGGCCTCGAACTCACAGAGATCCACCTGCCTCTGCCTCCCAAGTGCTGGGATTAAAGGCATGTGCCACCACCGCCTGGCTCCCACTGAACCATTTTACTGGCCCTATGCCCAGCGGTTTCTCTGTAGCTTTGGAGCAAAGTTTATTATGTATACAACAGTGTTCCCTTTGCATGTATGCCTGCAGGCCAGAAGAGGGTGTCAGATCTGGTCAATCTACTTTTAGAAAGACAATAGAGGGCTGGAAATATGGCTCAGATGTTAAGAGCGCTGGCTGCTCTTTCAGTGCACCTGAGTTCAGTTCCCAGCACCCACATGGCAGCTCACAACCACTTGTAACTCCAGTCCCAAAGAATCTGACCCCCTCTTCTGGCCTCTGAGAGCACTGAACACAGGTAGTGCGCACACATGCAGTCAAAATACTTCCACATAAAAGAATTTAATTTTCGCCGGGCGTTGGTGGCCCACGCCTTTAATCCCAGCACTCGGGAGGCAGAGGCAGGCGGATCTCTGTGAGTTCGAGGCCAGCCTGGTCTACCGAGTGAGTTCCAGGACAGCCTCCAAAACAATACAGAGAAACCCTGTCTCGAAAAACCAAAAAAAAATTTTTTTAATTTTCTTTCTTTTTTTGTTTTTTGTTTTTTTGAGACAGAAAAAAAGAAGAAAGAAATTAGGAGCTAGTGAGATGGCTCGATATTAAGAGCATTTTCTGCCTCTCCAGAGGCCCTGGATTTGTTCCCAGCACCCACATCAGGTAACTTACAGTTATCCCAAGCTCCTGGAAGATCTGAAGCCTCTGGCCTCTGTAGGGCCACACATGTTACACATAATTTAAAATAATTTTAAAAATCTTGCTGGGCGGGCTGGAGAGATGGCTCAGAGGTTAAGAGCACTGGCTGCTCTTCCAAAGGTCCTGAGTTCAATTCCCAGCAACCACATGGTGGCTCACAACCATCTATAATGAGATCTGGTGCCCTCTTCTGACCTGCAGACATACATGCAGGCAGAATACTATATGCATAATAAATAAATGAATCTTTAAAAAAAATCTTGCTGGGCATTGGTAGTGTACTCGGGAGGCAGAGGCAGGAGGATCTCTGTGAGTTAGAGGCCAGCCTGGTCTATAGAGAGAGTGCCAGGACAGGCTCCAAAGCTACACAGAGAAACCCTGTCTCAAAAAACAAACAAACCAAAAATCTAAGCACGGTGGCACATTCTGCTACTCCCAGCACTTGGGAGGCAGAGGCAGGTAGATCTCTATAGTTCAAGGCCAGCCTGGTCTATATAATAAGTTACAAGCCAGCCAAGGGTTACATAGTGAAACTATGTCTTAAAAAATGATAATTACAGGTGGAGAAATGTCCCAATGGTTAAGAACACTGTTCTTCCAGAGCATCTGGAAGAGAAACCCTGTCTTGAAAAACAAGACAACAACCAAAGGATGTATTGTAATGGTGGAAGCTTCACCCGAGCCCCTGGCATCCAGACACCCAAAGAGTCTGAAATGTTATGGTGGAGGTTCCTTATAAGCCCCCCTCCCCTGTCTCCCTCCAAACCCTGCTGCATCTCAGAAAGCCTGCCAAATGATGACCCCCCTCCCTCAGAGATGCTCAAGACCACTCCCAAGGGTACTTAAACTGACCCCCCCAAAAAAAAGCCCAGACATGTAGTTTTCTCCTCTCTGGATGTCTGGAAAGCCATCTGAGAGCATTGTATCCATTAAACTCGGGCTTTTTCTAATTCAGTTGATTTGATCTCATTTGGATTGCTGCACCAGAGGAGAGGCTATCTGGGTGTAGAAACTTACCTAGCTAGGGAGATACCACGATCACAAAGGTCATGGTTTTCCCAGAGCGAGGCTTTTCCATTGGATTCTGGATATACTAAGCCCTGTAATTTCCCAAAATTCAAGAAGCTTGACTGCATCCATTGTGGTATGGGGGACTGTATTGGCACTCTCACCATGGCAGGTGGGAGGTGAGGGTGGAACAGAATGGATACTTTACAAAGACTTCCATGGTGACAATGAGCGAGCTGAGCTTGATGGCTCCTTTAGGAGGCTGCTACTGAGTCATCCCTGGCCACAATGGCAAATTCACTGACCTTTTCGTCAGTTCTAGCAGTGATTTTCCAGTCTAGTAGAGTTGACTTGGCCTTCATCAAGCTTCACACTGCTTCCCAGAGTCAGGGAGAGCTTTGGCCTAGGTCTTAGGAGTCTTCTTGCCTTTGCCTATTCACTGTCTTCAGGATCCTTCAAATTAATGGAAGTCAATGAACACTGAGCTGACTGGCTGGACACAAGTGACTTCACATCTCTGAAAAAAAATTTCTGATCCTTCTACCAAATGGGAATACAAACAAAACCTATCTCTCTCTCTTTTTTAAAGATTTATTTATCACATGCAGTGTTCTCTCCAGCACCAAACAAAAACCTATCTCAATGGAATTATAAGAATTCTTAGTCAGGGGGGCTGGTGAAATGGCTTAGTGGTTAAGAGCAGTGGCTCACAGCCATCCGTAATGAGATCTGGTGCCCTCTTGTGGCCTGCAGGCATACACGCCAGCAGAACACTGTATACATAATAAATAAATCTTTATAAAAAAAAAAGTGCCTGTGAATTGGGGGCTGGATAGATGGCTCAGCGGTTAAGAGCACTGACTGCTCTTCCAGATGTCTTGAGTTCAATTCCCAGCAACTACATAAAAACAAAACAAAACAAAAAACAACTGGTCTTCCAGAGGTCTTGAGTTCCATTCCAACAATCACATGGTGGCTTGTCTGTAATGAGATGTGGTGCCCTCTTCTGGCCTGCAGGGATATATGCAAACACTATAATAAATACCTTTTTTTTTCCAAGACAGGGTTTCTCTGTGTAACTTTGTAGACCAGGCTAGCCTCAAACTCTCAGAGATCCACCTGCCTCTGCCTCCCGAGTGCTTGAATTAAAGGTATGCGCCACCACTGTCCCACTTAAATAAATACATCTTTTTTTTTTGTTTTGTTTTTTGAGACAGGGTTTCTCTGTATTGTTTTAGAGCCTGTCCTGGAACTCACTTGGTAGACCAGGCTTGGTCTCGAACTCACAGAGATCCACCTGCCTCTGACTCCCGAGTGCTGGGATTAAAGGCATGTGCCACCACCGCCTGGCAAATAAATACATCTTAAAAAACAAATAATACTCAAAGAATGTAGAGCTGGAGGTCTGTGAGTTCCAGGGCAGCTAGGGAAACCTTGTCTCAGAAAAAAAAAATGGAGCTGTGAATGGTGGTGCATGCCTTCAGCTTCAATATTTACTGGTGTTGGGGTGTGGAGTAGTAGAAGGATTGCTGCAAAATTGTGGCTACCCTACAGAAACCCTGTCTCAAAAGACTGGGGTTGAGGACAGGATGGGCAGCCAGGTATGATGACATACACCTACCTCTGTACTCAGAAGGTAAGCATAAGAGGATAGTGAATTCACGACAGCCTAGTCTACAGAGCAACACCCAAGCTCAAAAGAACCCTACACAGAATATTATGCCTAATTTGGGGTATAGCTTAACCATATAGTACAACCTTTGGCTTATTCCCTATCACCCCTGCCCACACATTTATAAACAACAACCAAAAACCTGCTACATACAGAGAACAGAGGCTGAAGATGTAGCTCAGGTGATAGAGTGCTTGCCTAAAGATGCACAAATCCCTAGGTTCAGTTGTAACCACATCACAGCAGGGTGGCACACACCTGTAATTCCAGAAATCTGAAGGTAGAGACAGTAGGATCAGAAGTTCAAGGTAATCAGCTGCATAGTAAGCAAGTTTGAAGCCAGCCTGAGATACATGAGACAAGAAGCAAATGGAATGGAGGGCTGGAGATCTGGCTCAGAGGTTAAGAGCACTACCTGTTCTTTTCAGAGGCATTGAGTTCAATTCCCAGCAACCACATGGTGGCTCAAAATCATCTATAATGAGATCTGGTGCTCTCTTCTGGCCTGCAGGCAGAACACTGTATGCATAATAAATAACTTTTTTTTTTTTTTGGTTTTTCGAGACAGGGTTTCTCTGTGACTTTGGAGGCTGTCCTGGAACTAGCTCTTGTAGACCAGGCTGGCCTCAAACTCACAGAGATCCACCTGCCTCTGCCTCCCGAGTGCTGGGATTAAAGGTGTGTACCACCAACTCGTGGCTAATAAATAACTTTTTTTTAAAGATTTATTTATTATATATACAGGTATGCCTATAGGTCAGAAGAGGGCACAAGATCTCATTACAGGTGGTTGTGAGTCACCATGTGGTTGCTGGGAATTGAACTCAGGACCTCTGGAAGAACAGTCAGCGTTCTTAACCTCTGAACCATCTCTCCAGCCCAATAAATAACTTAAAAAAAATTTAATTTATTGTGTACACACAGTCTTCTGCATGCATGCCAGCAGAGGGCACCAGATCTCATTCAAGGTGGTTGTGAGCCACCATGTGGTTGCCGGGAATTGAACTCTGGACCTCTGGAAGAACAGTCAGTGCTCTTAAATGCTAAGCCATCTCTCCAGCCCCAATAAATAACTCTTAAAAAAAAAGAAAATGGAATGGAACAAGCAGCTTCTCAACACTTGGAGCATGGTTAACTGCCCCCCACCCCCAATAGCAGGAATCCATGCTTATTCTGAATAATTACAACCGCTTCCTTTTAAGGAACTGTATATAACCATTTTATTTGATTGTTAGGTGCCCAATCTGATCCGTCTTGTCTCACTTTTCCTTTGAGTATTGCTATGTCTACCTTCTTCCTGGTATATGCAGGTATATGAGCAAGTACAGGCCAGAGGTTACATTGGAAGTCATCCTCCATTGCTTTCAACATATATTTTAAAGACATACTTTTGTGTGTATTTTGCCTGCATGTATGTGCACCACATACCTGCTTGGTGCAGAGTACAGAAGAGGGAGTCAGATCACAAGACTGGAGTTACAAACCATTGTGAGCTGTCATGTGGGTGCTTGGAACTGAACTCAGGTCTTCTGGAAGAGCAACCTCTATGCTCTTTTGGGGGGGATGGTGTTTCGAGACAGGGTTTTTCTGTGGCCTTGGAGGCTATCCTGGAACTCACTCTGTAAACCAGGTTGGCCTCGAACTCACAGAGATCCACCTGCCTCTGCCTCCCGAGTGCTGTGATTAAAGGTGTGCTCTACCAACGCCCAGTGCAATCTGTGCTCTTAATCACTGATTTTCCCAGCTCCTCTACCTTATTTTTTGAGACAGGGTCTCTGGCTGAACCTGGAATGAACCTTTTGTGCTTAGGCTAGCTTGCCAGTCCTTGGGATCTACCTGTGTCCACCCACCACTATTAGAGTTACAGAACATATCACTGCATCAAGCTTTTTATACAGACGCTGGGGAGCTCAAACTCAGGTAGTCATGTTTACACAGCAAGCACTTTAATCCAAGCATTCAGGAGGCAGAGACAGGCAGATCTCTGTGAGTCTGAGGCCAGCCTGGTCTACAGAGTGAGTTCCAGGGCAGCTAGAGTCATACAGAGACACCTTGTCTTGAAAAACCAAAACCAGCCAAACAAACAAAACCCCCAGGTGTAATTACATATACCTATAATATGGCATATACCATTACTAAAGAGGTGGTGGCAGGAAGACGTGAACCCAGCATCCATCTGGCAGTTCACACACACCTGTCTGTAGTTCCAATTCCAGGGAATCTAATGCCCTCTTCTGGCCTCCTTGAGCACAAGGCATGCATGAGATGCACACATACAGTCATGCAAAACACATACATAAAATAAATTACAGGTGTGTAATCATAACTCATTCTGACCTGAAACTATCTACATAACCCAGGCTGGCCTTGAACTTACTGAAATCCTCTTGCCTCTGAGCCTGAGTACTAGAATTACAAACATAGAGCACCATAACTGTGTTTGTTTGAGTCAGGGTTTTTGTTCAGGCTGTCCTCAAACTTGTGAAGTGGTTGAGAGTAACTTTGAACTGCTGATCCTCCTGTATCCACGTCCCTGGTGCTAAGGTTACCATTTCCAGGTGAAGCAAGCTCCACTATCAACTGAACTGCACACAATCTTCCTCCTATTTTTTTCCAAGAAAGGGTCTCACTGTGTATCCATTCCTGGCTGGCCTGGAGTTCACAAGGTAGACCAGAGTGGCCTTGAACTCACAGATGTCATCCTGCCTCAATCTTCAACTACAGGGATTACAGGCATTCACTACTATACCAGCATTGGCAATCAACCCAGGGCTTTGTGCACCAACACAAGTACTTTTCCCACTGGGCTAGTTATTTTCTAAGCAGGATTTCATGTAGCCCAGGCTGGTCTCAGACTTGCTAGACAATTCTAAACTTTATATCTTCCTGCCACCACCTCCTGAGTGATGGTATATGTATTGGCTAACATACATGAACCCAAGCTTCATGCTTGTTAGCGAAGCACTCTACCACCTGAGGTAGAGCCCCTCATTCTTTTTCTGCCTTGTGGGCTTTAGGCATCAAATTCAGGCAGTCAGGCTTAGTATCTAATATCTTTACCCACTGAGCCCCCATTGAATTTTTAAAACGTATTTATATTATTATATTCATTTATTGTGTACATTGGTATTTAGCCTGCATGTATGTCAGTGTGAGTGTGTAGGATCCTGAAGTTACAGTTGTGAGCTGTGATGTGGGTGCTGGGAATTGAACCCAGGCCCTTTGGAAGAGCAGTTAGTGCTCTTGACTGCTAAGCCATTTCTCCAGCCTTTACATTTTTTAGATTTATTTTTTATTAATATGAATTTTTTTGGGTTTTTTTGAGACAGGGTTTCCTCTGTAGCTTTGGAGGCTGTCCTGGAACTCACTTTGTAGACCAGGCTGGCCTCGAACTCACAGAGATCTGCCTGCCTCTGCCTCCCAAGTACTGGGATTAAAGGTGTGGGCCACCAATGCCCGGCATGCATGTATGTGTACCAAGTGCACTCCTGGTGCCAAAAGCAGTCAGAAAAGGGCTTTGGACCCCCAGGAACTGGAACTATGAATGGCACTTGTCATCATGTGGATGCTTGGAACTGAACCCAGGTTCTCTGCAAGAACAAGTGCTCTTGAGTACTGGGCAATCTCTCCAGCCTCCTTTTTGAAATTACTTATTGTGTTTGAAGGCAAGTATGCGCATACCAAAATGCACACTTGGAGTTGGTTTCTCCTTCCACATTCACATGGGTTCTGGGGGATTGAATTTGGCCAGGTTTATGTAGCACTTCAGATTCAAACCACATCCTTGCTGAACCTTCCCATTAGCCTTTAGGAAGGCTTGTTTGGGATACATAGCTATAACCAGAAAGGGATATTTGTTGTTCTTTTTTGTTAAAAGTTCTTTTTTTCTTATTGAATATTTATTTCCTTATTATGTATACAGTTTTCTGCCTGCACACTCATACCTCAAAAGAGGGCACCAGATCTGATTAGTGATGGTTGTGAGCCACCGTGTGGGTGCTGGGAATTGAACTCAGGACCTCTGGAAGAGCAGTCAGTGCTCATAACCTCTGAGCCATCGCTCCAGCACTTGTTTTTTGTTTTTTTTTTTTTTTTTTTTTAAGGGAGGATTTCACTTAGTAGTTCTGGCTGACTTAGAATTCATGATTACATATCTATTTATTTGAGATAAGGTCTGGCTATGGAACCCAAGCTGGTCTTTGTGTATGTATGTGACACACAGAGAAAGAGAAAGAGGAAGCCACTTGCATCATGGCATAAATGTGGAGGTCAGAGAACAACTTTTTGGGAGTTCATTTTCTTTCAACCTTGTTTTGAGACAGGTTCACTCCTTTTTTTCTTTTCTTTTTTTCTTTTTTCGAGACAGGCTTTCTCTATATTGTTTTGGAGGCTGTCCTGGAACTCGATCTGTAGACCAGAGCTGGCCTCCAACTCACAGAGATCTGCCTGCCTCTGCCTCCTGAGTGCTGGGATTAAAGGCATGCACCACCAACACCTGGCTCCTTTTTTTCCTTTTTGCTGTGCTCCATGCTAGTTGGCCTGAGAGAAATTTCCCATCTTGCTTTCTTGCTTGGAGGGGTGCTGGGTTACGGATGTGCACCGCTGATCCAGCTTTTTACAGAAGTTCTTTGGGCCAAGCAGTGGTAGTACAGGCTTTTAAATCCCAGTACTTGGGAAACAGAGGCAGGTGGATTCTGTGAGTTTGAGATCAGCCTGGTTAAAAAAAAAAAAAAAGAGTTCTCTGAACCAAGCTCAGGTGGCTAGCACTTTTACCCAGTGAACCATTTCCCATTCCCCAGGCTGATTTTGATATCACAATTTTCTTGTATTAGATTCCTGAGTACTAGGAATTTAGGCACACAGCACCATATCCAGCTATTCAATAAAGTGAGGTAGACATTAGTATAATTAATTGATTTATTATTTCAGTTTTCAGGGTTCCTCTATATATCCCTGACTCTCCTGGCACTTACTCTGTAGACCAAACTGCTCTAGAACTCAGAGATCCACCTGCCTCTGCCTCCTAAGTGCAGGGATTAAGGCATGCACCACCACACCTGGATATGTTTTTTATTATGTTTGGTTCCTTGAGACAGAAAACTCAATAAGTGGACCAGACTGGCCTTGATATCTATATCTCCTTCTGCCTCTTGAATATTTGGGATTAAAGTTGTTCATCACCACACTCAGCATTTAACAAAATTAAAATATTTTTAAAAATGTATCTGGGTGATTTGTCTGTATGTCTGTGTGCCATGTGCCTTTGGTGACACAGAGGCCAGAAGAGGATAAAAATGATTGCAAGCAGCCGGGCGGTGGTGGCACACACCTTTAATCCCAGCACTCGGGAGGCAGAGGCAAGTGGATCTCTGTGATTTCGAGACCAAGCCTGGTCTACCGAGCGAGTTCCAGGACAGGCTCCAAAACAATACAGAGAAACCCTGTCTCGAAAAAAAAAAAAACCAAAAAAAAAAAAAAATGATTGCAAGCTATCTTGTTGGTTCTAGGAGCTGAATTAGGTCCTCTGGCCTGAGTCAGTGCTCTTAACTACTGAGTCGTCTCTCTTCCACTACCTACATTTGTGCTTTCCTTCCCTTTGGTGTGTGTGTGTCTATATGTAAACAAGGCTGGCTTTGTATTCACAGAGATTTGCCCTGCCAGTGCCTCTTGAGTGCTGGGATTAAAGGTAAGTGCCACACCTGGCCTCATTATCTTTTATTAATATCTTTCCAGATAATTACATCTATCTGAAAAGGTAAAGTGTAAAGGGCACTGAGAACATGTGGGGAAGGTTTTTTGGTTTGTTTTTGAGACAGGGTTTCTCTGTGTAACAGTTTTGGCTGTTCTAGAACTCTTTATAGACCAGGCTGACCTCAAAGTCACAGGGATCCTCCTGCCTCTGCTGGGATAAAAGGTGCGCACCACTGTTGCATGGCAGTGGGGAAGGTTTTTGCTGATAATTCACACTAGACTTTACTTTTATAAAAAAAAACATTACCTCTGTATTTGAGATTGTATTTTTATTTTGGGAGTATTTGCCTGACTGTATGTCTGTGTATCAGAAGAGGATGTTAGATCCCTAAGACTGAAGTTAGAGACTGTTAGGAGCTTCCATGTAGGTGCTGGGAATCAAACCCCAGGTTCTTTGGAAGAGCAGCCAGTCTTAACCACTAAACCATCTCTCCAGGCCCACCTCTATAATTTATTCAAAACTAAACCCACAAAACTTTTTTAAAAAGTCCTAACTTGAAAAAAAGCAAACATATACTTACTGCAAGACTATATACATGTCTTTTTTTTTTTTTTTTTTTTTTTTTTTTCGAGACAGGGTTTCTCTGTGGCTTTGGAGGCTGGCCTGGAACTCGCTCTGTAGACCAGGCTGGTCTCGGACTCACAGAGATCCACCTGCCTCTGCCTCCCGAGTGCTGGGATTAAAGGCATGCGCCACTGACGCCCGTCATATGTGTCTTTTTCAGTCAGGGGATTTTTTTTTTCCGTTTTGTTTTTGTTTTTTGAGACAGGGTTTCTCTATATTGTTTTGGAGCCTGTCCTGGAACTCGCTCTGTAGACCAGGCTGGCCTCGAACTCACAGAGATCCGCCTGCCTCTGCCTCCCAAGTGCTGGGATTAAAGGCGTGCGCCACCAACGCCCGGCGCCCAGTGTCTTTTTAAAGATAGAATAATCTTGAACTTTAGAATATTAATTAGGTGTGTGTGTGTACATACCGAGTATGCAACAGCCCAGGCTGGCCTCTACCAGTATCTACCTTATAGGCATACAACTCCACACCTAGCTGTAAAGAATATTTTTTTCAGTCTATTTATTCAACTGCCATTTCTCCACTGTCCACATTGCTTCTCCCATATCCGTCTCTGATTTATTTGTTATGTTTTGGGGCAGGGTCTTGCTATGTAACCAAGGGCTCAAGATTTTTCTTGGAACTGTTGCTAACAATAAACAGGTCCTTAAAATGGGAAAGGAGTATCAGATTCTCCAAGATTTTTTAGAGGATTTGTATTGATGTATATGGTTATTTTACTTGTATGTCTGTGTACCATGTCCGTGCAGTGCCCTCTAAGGTCAGAAGAGGGTGTCGATTCCCTGGAACTGGAGTTGCAGATGGTTATGAGCGCTGGAAATAGAGCCTGGGTCCTCTGGAAGAGGAAGCAGTCAATATTTTTAGTTGCTGGGCCACTTTCCCAGTCTCTCAAAAAGGGCCCTTAATGTGGAAAACCTGCACACTGATTGCACAGATGTTTGTTGGGGGGAGGTCTTGGGCAACCAATGCTACAAAGTCGACTGCAGCTGGTAGTGGTGGCGCACACCGTTAGTACTAGGCAGAGGCAGGAGCATCCCTGTTGAGTTTAAGGTTAGCTGGATCGATATATCGAGTCCAGGTTAGCCACAGCTACAATAATGAGACCTTATCTTTAAAAAAACAAAAACAAGCCGGGCGTTGGTGGTGCACGCCTTTAATCCCAGCACTTGGGAGGCAGAGGCAGGCGGATCACTGTGAGTTCGAGACCAGCCTGGTCTACCGAGCGAGTTCCAGGACAGCCTCCAAAGCCACAGGGAAACCCTGTCTCAAAAAACCAAAAAAAACAAAACAAAACAAAACAAAAAAACAAAAACAAGCCGGGCGTTGGTGGCGCACGCCTTTAATCCCAGCACTCGGGAGGCAGAGGCAGGCGGATCTCTGTGAGTTCGAGGCCAGCCTGGTCTACAGAGCGAGTTCCAGGACAGCCTCCAAAGACACAGAGAAACCCTGTCTCGAAAAAACCAAAAAAAAAAAAAAAAAAAAAAAGCAACTGGAGGCTCAGGCTCCAAAAATTATTTGTTTCATTTCACTGGCTGATCTGCAAAAATAAAAACTCCCAAAGGATGTTCCCACAGTACAGCTTCAAAGCAGCACGGGTTTCAGTGGTTTCAGATGCGACGAAGCGTGCTGGGCAGGCATGGAACCGGGGAACTGACTACAACTCCCATCTTGCTTTGCGCTCCAGACAAGAGCCCTACGCTAGCACGCGAGCCTACCCGCCCCTCCAGCCTCCAGTTACTGTGTATCGCGAGAAGACGGGCCGCTCCGGCGGTAGCGATAACGAGCCTTGGTGGTGGTAGTGGTGGTAGTGGCGGTGGCGGCCGAGAAGGCGGCGGCCATTTTGGTGAGGCCTCGGGAGCGGCGGCGGCGGCGGCGGGGTCGCTGGAGTAGCGTCTCCTTTTTCTCTAACTTACTGATCGCATCTCCGTGGCGGGACTAGAAGCGGTGGGAGCACGGGGGCGGCTCTAGCTGCGGCCTTTAGGGGAATTTAAAGCGGTGAAGGCGGCGACCAAGAGGGGGCCCTCCCCCCTCCTCGGCGGGAGGGGGGGTGGTGAGCACGCCCCCGAGGACGCAGGTAAGGAGAGGGAGACAAGATGGCGGAGGCTGCACATGCCCCCTCCCCTGACGGGTGACTGCGCGCGCATCCGCCAGTGCCTCTTCCCACCTTCCCGGGGTGCTGCGCGCGCACCTTCAGCCGGGGCCCTGGGGCCGGCGAGCGGGGCTGCCTGCGCGCGCCCACGGAGACCCAAGTGGGGGGTGTCAGGCCGGGTGGCATCTGGTCTCGGCGCGTCTTCCTTGCCCTGCTGCCCTTCTGCGCACGCGTGCGTGAGCGAACAAACCCCGAGAGGACGGACCCAGGTGCGCTTCTGCCCGCCCACCAACCTGCCTCCCCTCAGGGGAGAGGGAAGAAAGGGTGCATGAGACGAACAGTCCGGGCGCATGCCCACCATAATCCATTTAGGAGAGACCAAGGCTTGGCGCTCGAACCCTTTCTTCCTCAGCCTTTTGCTGTCTGTTGATGTGAGGGCGCCGGCGGGCGCGGACTTCCGAGTCCTGCGACCCAGTCTATGGTTTTGGGTTCTGGCGGGAACCCCCCCCCAGGCCGTGCGCGCCGCCGGATCACTCCGCCTCCAGCCGCGCACGCGCGGGCCCCTCCCCCCGCCTGGCGCGCACGTTGGGTGGGGTGGGCGGCCGGGCGGGGGCGGGGCTACCGTGAACGCTTGGGCAGAGGTCGGGGGTCATGCTTGGTCGGTCTACTGAGAGGTCTAGGGAGGCGGTAATGAAGACCAGGGTCAAGAGTTCAGGCATCTCGCATTCGGACTTCCTCCCGGCCTCGGAACGAGGAGGGTGAACCTAGGCAGCACTGCTCCTAGATAAGGAGTTAACCGGGCAAATACTTCCGGGCCTTGTATAGTTTAGCCCTGCTTGTTTCCGGAACGTAGCTCGGGTTGGAGCCTTCCTTACTTACGTCGGCTTAAAAAACTAAAGTTCTTTGGATGTTTCGTCGTGTGTAAGATTTCAAAGGATGCTTTTCTGTGACCGACTATTTGCTTTTTGTTTTTGGGGACTCCACCCTCATTCCTGTTAAGTCCTCACTGAAAAGGCAAGCAGGCAGTCAGACATCCAACAGGCTTTGTGAACTTCTCAATGACAGTTTCTCTCGGTTTTTTTTGGTGTTTGGTATTTAAACCACTTTTAAAACTTTCTGTTTCATTTCCTCTCTGCCGTTATACTTATCCAACCAGAATGTACAACCCTGTGAAATTCTCTATACAAAACACGATTTGCTTTTGTTGCCATTATTTTTTTTCCTTTTTTCTTCTTTCTTTTCTTTTCTTTTTCTCTGTATTGTTTTGGAGACTGTCCTGGAGCTCACTCTGTAGACCAGGCTGTCCTCGAACTCACAGAGATCCGCCTGCCTCTGCCTCCCGAGTGCTGGGATTAAAGGTGTGTGTTAACATAACCTACCTGCCATTACTTTAAAAAAAGTAATTATTTTACTTTTGCGTGTATTTGTGAATTCCCATGTGTTCACCTCATGCATGGTAGGTGTCTGAACAGGCCAGAAGAGGTGTTGGCTCCACTGCACCTGGAGTTACAGGTGTTGTGAGCTGCCTGCCATCTGGATGCTGGGAACCAAACCCAGGACATCTGAAGAGCAGTGAATACTGAATTGCTGAGACATTTCTCTAGACATTCCCCCAAGGCCTAACTGAGCCTCAGCCTAACCAAATTTATTTTGTTTTTTTTTTCTGAAGCATGAGCTTTTCCCATTATTATGTGAATTGGCTTTGGCTGTGTTTTTAAGTCTTAGAAAACTGGTATAAATACACTTAGACAGGTATTGACAAATGTGGATTGGTTCCTCACTACTGCTTTCTCTGTTTTAGGTGTGATTTCCCTCATTACAGCAAGGCACCGTGGAAGTGCAGACTTTCACAGGGGGTGTGGTCTCTGCTCACACAGGTGAGCTCATCTTTCAGATACAATTTTGTGTGCTTGTATTAATGAAGAAATAGTATGAGATAATGAGAGAATAAGTTAATTATGAATTTATGGTCTGGAAAACTTCAAACCTTTGCATGTGTTTTCTTGGGGGATTTGACCATGGTGGTATAACAATGGAACCTCAGTATTACCAGGGAGACTACTAAGAGTACAATTTTCTTCAGAAGTTCGTTTTTTCTTTTTTGGGTCTTTGGAGAGCCATGGCTGTCCTGGAATTCACTATGTTGACAGTACTGGCCTCAAATTCACAGAGATCTGCCTGCCTCTGTTTCCCTGTGCTGGGGTTAACTGTTGGTGTCACCAGCCTGGCTGGCTTCTTCACTGTTTTGGAATGAGGCTATCTGGATTTAAATTCTCCTGCTATTTTCCTTCCTTCCTTCCTTCCTTCCTTCCTTCCTTCCTTCCTTCCTTTCTTATTTTCTTTCTTTCTTTCTCTTTTGGTTTTTCAAGACAGGGTTTCTCTGTATTGTTTTGGAGGCTGTCCTGGAACTCGATCTGTAGACCAGACTGGCCTCGAATTCACAGAGATCCGCCTGCCTCGAGTGCTGGGATTAAAGGCGTGTGCCACCAACACCTGACTTTTTCTTTCTTTCTTTTTTTGTTTTTGGTTTTGTTTTGTTGTTGTTGGGTTTTTTTTTTTTTTTTTTGAGACAGGGTTTTTTTGGGTAGGTTTGTAGCCTGTCCTGGAACTCACTCTGTAGACCAGGCTGACCTTGAACTCACAGATGTCCATCTACCTCTACCTCTACCTCTAGTGTGTGCCACCACTGCCTAGCATATCTCTTCTTTTGAAAGGAGTTCTCATTATGTGACTGAGGCTGTTCTGGAAGGCCTGGATTCAAACCATCCTCTTCACCCCAGTATTCCAAATATGTTCTACCTCTTAATTTAGCTAAGCAAGTAATTCCAAGTATTTGACACATAGCAAATGTCTAAGAAACATGGGGACAGGGTCTTACACTAACTGTGTAACCAGGGATGAACTTCTGATCTTTCTGCCTTTACCTCCCAAGCTTTGATATTGATGGTTTATTCCTCCCTGTTGGTTTTATACTTTGTTGGAGATTGAGCCCATGTTTTATGTGTGCTAGGTACGTACTCAATCAACTGAGCTACCTCCCTATCCCTAGAAACAGTTCTTAACATCAGCATTTTGGAGGCTGAGGCAAGAGAATAATTATTCCCAGGCCAGCCTGGATGGGTTAGTAAGACCTTATCTGTCTCAAAAAACAAACAACTCTTTTAATGGCCTTTAATTTTATTTTTACTTTTTTTATCCAACCATAGGTGCTCCAGAGGTTGGTGGACCTGAGCGGAGGCTGGGACGCCCTGGTGGGCCCCGGGCCCTGGAAGGCAGGTCCCGGTGGCTGGTGGCCCAGAATGAGGCCAGCTCCCAGCATGCCCTGCAGCCGGACACCAGCCCCTCGGCCTGCAGCAGTGGTGATAATAACCCAGTCATTCTTCAGGCATCCAGCAAGGAGCCTGGGAGTAGGACCATGCAGAGCAGCCCCTCCCCTGCTCATCCTCAGCTCCCAATCCTACAGACACAGGTTTGAAAGTGGGGAGGGTTCCGTTGCTTATTTTCTGTGGACTAATGAACTGTGGACAGAAGTGGTGTTGCGGGTCTTACTACCTACCTGAGTAGTTGAATTTGGACTTTCTTTGTTTTTTTTTGTTTGTTTTGTTTTTCGAGACAGGGTTTCTCTGTGGCTTTGGAGGCTGGCCTGGAACTAGCTTTTATAGAGCAGGCTGGTCTCAAACTCACAGAGATCCACCTGCCTCTGCCTTCTGAGTGCTGGGATTAAAGGCGTGCGCCACCACTGCCAGGCAAGTTTGGACTTCTTTAGTTTTCAGATAGTTTGGGCTGTAACATGTCAAGCCTGTTAAATACTTTCTTCTTCTTCTCCTCTTCCTCCTACTCCTCCTCCTTTTTTAATTTGTTTTTTTTCAAGACAGAGTTTTTCTGTGTACTTTCCTGGAACTTACTCTGTTGACCAGACTGGCCTTGACTTTGGATCAATTTGTCTCTGCTTCCCAAGTGCTCGGATTAAAAACTTGTGCTAACATGCCTGCCTTTAGATACTTTCTGCTTCATATAATAATAGTGTTGGTTTCCAAGAGTACAGATCTTGAGGGGTGTGGTGGCACATGCATTTAATCATAGCACTCAGAGGCAGAGACAGGCAGATCTCTATGAGATCAAGGCCAGTCTGGTCTATGTAGTGAGACCCTGTCTTTAAAAAAAGAAAAAGATGCTGGTCTTTCTTAAAGTGGTTGAATTAGGCTAGCCTGGAAATGGAGACTTGGCAAAATGTTTTTAAGAGTAAACTATTCTAAGTTCATTTGGAACTAGAACAGGGTAAGCCTTAAGTGAGGCATTATTTCTTTCCTTGTATTGTGGGAATGTGGAGTGCAGGGGGTGGAGTGTTTTTTAAATTAATTAGATCTTCATTTGCATTTAATAGGCTTTTTCCCCTTTTAATAAGTCAGGGCTTCTTGTGGAGCTAGGGGGTTAGCTCAGGGTTGGGCCCTGGGTTGATTCCCAGTACTGTATATACAGTATATGGTCACACATACTTGTAATCCCAGCACTTTCAAAGGTGGAAGCAGGATGATCAGAAGTTTGAGGTCATTATCAGCTACATAGGGAATTCCAGTTTCACCTGAGGTACACGTGACCCTGTCTAAAAAGCAAGGAGAAGGAAGTTGGGAGTTTCCTTATGTACTGCAGCCTCCTGAATCCTAGGATTGTAGACCTAGGATTGTAGCTCAATTGATAGTTGGTTCATTTGTTGTGATGGCCTTTGCATGGGCCTTGTGCATGCTAAGGCAAACTCTTTACTATTGAGCCATATCCCTTTGGGCTTTTAAATATGTTTCTTGAATTTAAGTGCAGAGCTTTGTGCAGTTCAGATAAGTACTCTGTCATTGCTTCAGTGGATTTGATACTTAGAATTCTTCTTAGCTTCTGGGGAATTTTGACATGTAGTCTTGAATCATTTAGCTGGGGTAGGAATTAGAGGCACTCTGAGATGTTGGTTTTGTAGTGAATTTCATTAATGATTTCATTTGTCATATTTCAGTGGGCCTTTTTGTTTTTCAAGAACTCAGAGATCTGCCTTCTGCTGCCTCCTGAGTGCTAGGAATAAGGGGCATGTGATACCATTGCCTGGCTGGGACATTGTTTTCAGTTATTGCTTTTATAGTCAATACTGTGTAAAATAATGTTTTGTTACTTACAGCATTCAGTTCCATCTTCTGCATTTTCAGTGAAGAGGTTTCAGGGCCTTTTT